TTTTTTTTTTTTTTATATCCAAGCATTATTTAGTGGGAACTCGCAACATTGCACAATACCATCCCCAAGCCACAGATCAGCCCTCATTTATGTACTACAACCAGATTGTTCTGATTTTGTAGACAGATCTACCTTGAATTCTCTGTTTTAAACCTGTTTAATTCCATTTTGATTTGCAGATCCAGCCATGGACTTGATGAAGGTGTTCGATCAAACCGTCCGTGAAATGTATGCATTTTCTTTCTCCGTTTTGTGATTCAATGAGCTATTTTATCACATCTTCTTTATTGACTTGATTAAATCTTAATTATTTAAATGCAGAAAGAGGGAGGTGAACTTGAAGGTGCTGAAGGTGCCGGAGATCGAACAAAAGGTAAAAACTCAATAAATTTGATTGCATTTTCTCGTTATCTTAGCTCTGGTTTACTTCATCGATTGCTTTTATTTTATGCATTTGCAGTAAAGAGTGGTTATGGTAACTCTTAGCAACTTGCTTTTAGCTTACTTTTAGTCTATTGGGATTGAAACAGGGTAGTCTCTGAGTTTAACATAATAATTTTCTGTGCAATTCTACTATACTACCAGTTTTGATTAAAATAGCCTTCCTTTGTGAATGGTATAATTATTATTTTTTTTTTTTAAATGCTGATAAAATTAAGACATAAATTTTATTTGTTTGGTACTTAAAAAGGTTTGAATAAGCTGCCTGTAAATTGATCAAGTTGTTGAATGTTCCTTTATTTTATTTTTTGTCTGTCACATGCATAGTGTTCTTGATTACATAAAGTTATTTTCGCGAACATGGACTATCGTGTTTCATCACTTTCCAATTTAGTCGTAGGAGCTTACAGTTGAATTGCCAAATCAATTTTTTACTTAAGCTAAATTGTTCCAAGCCATGTGGATATTACTGTCAAATGTCAATGTCCACTGCACTTGCAAAAGTAACATAATGGTTGTTTTGTCTCATCCTTTTAACATAGGTTTTGGACGCTACGGATGATGAACCATGGGGCCCTCACGGTACAGTATTGGCGGAGATTGCACAGGCCACAAAGAAATTGTACTTCCTATACTTTCTATAAGCACAAATTTATTCTAATTCAGTTATCTTCTTATACGTTTTAAATTTGCTTAAGGCATCGGTTTGCTGTCCTATCAATGTCTGATATGTGAAGATGTATGCAGCACTGAATGCCAGATGATTATGAATGTCCTATGGACAAGATTGACTGAGACGGGCAAGAACTGGCGTTTTGTCTACAAGGTTTGCACCTGGAGTTCTTTAACTGCTAAACTACCAAATATTTCATGTGGGTTGATTATGGCAAATGTGGAAAATGTTTAAATTTCTTCATTTTTCTGTTAAATCTTATTGTATAGTGACTTCAGGAGACGAAAAGGAGAAAATACTAACATTATGTTCTGCTCTAGTCATTGACTGTTGTAGAGTACCTGGTGGCACATGGATCAGAACGTGCTGTTGACGACATTATAGAACATACTTTTCAGATATCAGTATGTAGTCTCTTCCTGGATAGATCTTTATATACTTTCAAACAGAACAAGACAAAAATTTTGACAGATCTGTTATAGAGTACCTGGTGGCACATGGTTTTGGTTCTTACCAGCCTTCCTTTTTCCATTTTCAATTTTTTTAGTCTCTGGCAAGTTTTGAATATGTTGAGCCAAGTGGGAAGGATATGGGAATTAATGTGAGAAAAAAAGCTGAGACCATTGTGGCTCTTCTAAACAACAAGGACAAAATACAAGAAGTACGAAACAAAGCTGCCGCCAATCGTGAAAAGTAAGCTTGTTCCCCACCCACCTCCCTTCGTGTGTCCCCTTCTTCTTCTCTCTGGGCAAAAGCTTATGCTTTGACATCCATATACCTTGTTTATCGTTTCCAACTCTTTTCACAATGTTTTTCTCAAATGGTTGATTTATGAGTTATATGTTGTTGCCTGCTAGATATGTTGGACTTTCCTCGTCTGGAATAACGTACAAGTCAGGGGCTGCCTCATTTTCTAGTACTGGCTTTAAAAGTAATGATCGATATGGAGGATTTGGCAATAGGACAGACAGTGAAACTTTTAGAGATAGTTATAATGATGCTGATCAATATGGTGATGATAAATATGAGAAGTCTACTAAGTCAAAGAAAGAATCTTCTCACCAGAGCAGGTCCGTTGTTTTGACATCCTTCTCTTTTGAGTGTAGCTCATAATTTCCATTTATCTTCTTGCGAGTTTTATCAGCTTAACAATGTTATAGTTTTTGCTGACCTACTAAGTCAAAGAAAGAATCTTCTCACCAGAGCAGGTCCGCTGTTTTGACATCCTTCTCTTTTGAGTGTAGCTCTATTTCCATTTATCTTCTTGCGAGTTTTATCAGCTTAACAATGTTATTGTTTTTGCTGACCTACAATATGATCAACCAGCTATAATTTTATGTTTGTTAGTGTTTGATTTGGAGGATACCATTTCTGAATCTGTGGTGTAGTCATTTTCATTTGATTCTAACTATTCATATGTTACTACTTGCTCGCATAAATTCAACGATAACTGGCTGGATTGGAAGTGGGTGCTAACTGATAGAAATACCTTTATCTTTTGGATACATTTTCAGTCCTATAACTTTGTTAACGGATATACAAATTATGTTTGAAGAGTTTTGCTAGCTCTCTTTTGGGAATGTAAGGTTTTTTAGCTATTTGGCTGATAGCTATGGGGCCCTCGGTAAACTGGCATGGTTCATGCTCGTAATTGATATGATAGATGTGTAATTGCGACTCTTTTTGAAATAAAGAACAAAATTTTAATTTATCTAATCTGCTAATTTTGGCATTAGATCTGTGAGGTATTAAACTTGGGACCTCATATTCTGGATCTAATTAAATGTCCAGCAATGCTTATTTATTTAATGTATGTGTGCTCTATCCACACTAAATTTTCAGAATGCTTTGCAGCAGTGGTCAAAGCTCTTCAGCTACTGGTAAGACTAGCAAGTCAGATAAGTATGATGCACCGTCAGAAAAATATGATGAAGATTTTGATGATTTTGATCCCAGGGGGACTTCAAGCGCCAGTAAGACCTGTCAGCTTAACAAACTATACCCATCTGCTTTTGCGGAAGGCCTGATACTAATATATGCAATTTGTCTTTGGTGTTGAGCAGAAGCACTTTCTGGGAGTCAGCCAGTGGATCTTTTTGGGCAAGATTTTGTTTGCGACCTCTTGGGTGAACCAGTTGGTGTTCCAACAGATAAATCCACTGCCTTAGACAGTGATCCATCGGAGGTTGATTTATTCGCTGATGCTACTTTTGTGTCGGCAACACCCCTCCCGTCCGTAGCCAAAACTCCCGAGCCTCAGGTTAGACTCCCACCAATAAGTTACAAAACATGATGTTAGTTTCATAATTTTCGTCACCATAATGCTCT